TGGCTGGCTGGTGATGACTGATTACTCTGCCCTGAAACTTTCACTATGCATTTCCCTCTACTGGCAATGAAAGTCCACAGGGAGGGCAGAACCAGTTAGCTTTGTGCTTGCCTGTCAATTAAAATCAGTTAGCAAGCAAAAGACCACTCTATTGTTTGGTTACGCCAGCCAAAATACATGATGCTACTTGTAGGTTAGGCAGGATGAGATACTGTGAAGTCTAAAATCTTCTGCCCTGCTCAGATCTTTTAACCATTAGCCTTAATCAGAACAATAATATAACCCAACTGCACCCTTCAAGAGCTAATTGGCATTTATTCTGTGCAATGAAAGCATGTTAAACAACATGTAAAACATCCTGAATTCAGGTCTCAATACCAAGAAAGTGCAGGGTTTCCACACACTATTTTTCTTAGCATTGTCACAAATGCTCATTTTAGACTGTCAGTGGCTCTTCTCCAGAAACAACAAAAATATAACCAGGGACTTAATTGTTTTCATAGAAGATCTCAGTAACTTTTCATATCCCAATCAGAAAGTATTCTAGGAGAGGGGAAATTAAATATTGAACTAGGCAGACAAGACCTACCATGTGGACTCAGAGAAATCATCTTAATTTGGAATTATTTTGCAACAGTTTTGAACTAAGGTTCCTTTCCTGCAACTGGATCCCTGCAACTGGATCCCTGTACTCACAGGTGTCCATGAGATGCATGCAGATACCGGAGTGTGCCTGATCAAGGGTTGGGACCATACTACCTACCGATTTAAGAGCATCTCCAAAATGAACATATTATCTACCCCTGTCAACCAGGCTCACACACTGCAGCTTTAAAAAAAACAAACCTCACAATAACCTGAAACTGTAAAACAAATCACAAAATCCATACAAGAAGGGATACAAATCTTTATAAAGAGAGGTAGTTAGCTGCATTATTCTGAAGTCAGGCAGAAGGCAGGGTAGATTTACACCTTATAGGCTAACTAAATCCAAGAGGTATTCCATGAAGTTTCATTAGCTTGAGCTCACTTCATCAAACACTTCATCAGAGCAGCACCTGATAAAATGAGCTTGAGCTCACGAAAGCTCATGCTATATATCTTGGATTTATAGAATCTAAGGTGCAAATCCACCCTGCCTTCTGCCAATCATTATGAAGTTCAGTATAAGGAAAAGACAACAGCATACTGTACAATTTTTAACAGGTGCACACAACAGAATCAGGGTAGGTTTTTGGTCAGCAAATGAGAGATGCTGTTGCAGTTTTTAATGCAAGTGAAGCTTATGGCTAGTTTTGTGCACAGGGAACACATTTTCTTTCCTTAATTTAAAGGCAAGCATTATATATAATTTCTCTTTAGTCATATTCAGTTCTTAAATGCAGCCAGGCAGCAACTGTCATGTTGTGGATGTTTCTGGTAGGGAAAAAAAAAGCAAGTATTGTTCAGTACTTAACAGTTTCTCCTCTGTGCCACCAGCAGTAAAGGGATTTGTCACAGAAGAAAAACTATGCGTATGTAATGCGAGGGAGGAAACTTTACCTGTCTCATGAGATCAGAACCTGCAAAGTTAGAATAAAGGAAGCACTGACAACTTTTGTGTGTACACCAAAAAATAAACCTCATCCTAACTCTTTCCTGTTTGCCCTCTCAACCCCATTCAAGGATACAGCAAAACCAAGCTCTCTGTTACATTGTTCAAAAGGAGGGTAAGAACACATGCACCCCCCTTACCCAGCCTCTCTCTTATACCTACTAGCTGAGACTTGCAATTGGAAGAATGTGTGTTTGCCCCTTATCACCAACATCAGGGTATTACCAGGCAAAGTTACAGTGTTACAGACAAGGCCAGAGCTTGAAAGGAGAGAATGAGAATCTGGGGAGTGGGGAGAGGAGAGACATCTGTGTTCTTCATCAACAACAGGAGAGAATAATCTAAACCCCACTCATCAGAGCCATATCTACAATAGAAACTTTTGCTAGTACAGCAGCATTTGTTATAGGGCTCATTTTCTTCTTCAGTGCTTTTATATTGGCAAGAACTTTAACGTAGATGCAGTTGCAGCAGCTGGCATAGTTTATTTTATTTTATGCCATTATAAACTATATCAGCATATACACTCTTTGGTCAGTATACGGTGCATCTCAACTAAGAGCTTCAACAACAATGGCAAAGTTTCTATGGGTAAATTACAGTTACATCCAGTGGGAGATCTTTTGGGTACGGCAATGCATTTTAGGTCTCATCTAATATTGTTGTTGGTTCAAATCATAAGTGCTAAATTAGCTAACCCGAGCTGCCTGGGGCTTTGTTGCCAGCGTAGATAAGTCATGCTGAGCATCCTGTCAGCTAGTCATGATTAAAGATGCCATCAGGCTAAACACAAGTGGTCCTTGCCTATACACAGACTGTAACATTGCAGTCAGCAGCTGTGTCAGCTAACTCAGCTATAAGGAACTGAAAAAACACAGGATAAATGACACAATTATGTAGTGTAGACAAGGCCAAAAAGGAGTAATTAGGGGGAAGGGTAACAACAAACATGCTCAGGGACAGAGGGGGAGGGAAATGTGTGGACCTCACTCACCAATAACCTAAAGATATAGCAATCAAGATCTCTCTTCTACTGGGGTGCAGGTTGAAGGAAGTGTGGGGGAACAGAAAGAAGAGCATGTCAGAGGTGGAGAAGAGAACTGTGGATATTTGGGAAACTGAGATGTATATATTGGATCCTATCACCCAGATCAACAACCTCAAGTGTCCAGCAGGATTAAGCAGTTATACCTGCTTGTAAGGGATATGTAGGGGAAGCAACATGTGTCAGGGGAAAATGTGCATGTTCCCCACACAATTCTAGAGCAAGAGATTGAGTTCAGCAAGATTAAACAGTTGTACCCTTTGTACCCTGACCAGCTGGAGACAGGTAGGGATAACAGGAAAACATACATGCCTAAGAACTAGATAAAGGGGAGGGTGAATGTGTCTGAGTGGAGAGGAAGAAATGAATGAGTCAGCAGGGCTAAGCAATTACTCTGGTGAGAGAGGAACCTACTGAGAGTGGAGGACAAGAGTAGGAATGTATCTGCCAGTCAGAGGGATGAGAAGGCATGCATATCTGCAGCACAGGAGCTGGGTACGACTGCTAGCTTTGGGGAACAGAGGACAGCTGTCTGTCTATCCAACTGTCTGCATCTATAGAATCACAGCAAAACAGGGCTGGAAGGGATTCTGCAAAATCATTTAGTCCAACCCCCTGCTCAAAGCAGGATCATCTCCGTCTACACCACTCCAGAAAGATGCTTCCCTGACTGGCACTTACAGGCCTCCAGCGCCAGGTTACACAGCTGCTCTCCAGATCCTGTTCCAGAGCTGAACCACAGGCCACCAGAAAGTTCTTCCTAATATCTAACCTAAATCTCCCTTGCTGCAATTTAAAACCATTACTTCTTGGCCGGCCCTCAGCGGACAGATAAAAGGGGACAACAATCAATTCTCCTCTAACAACTCTTTTTGCTTTCGAAGGACGTTACCAGTTCCCCTCAGTCTTCTCTTCTTCAGACTAAATAAGCCAGTCCTCCCAGCCTTTCCCTAGACATGTTTTCTAGTCCTTTAATGAGCTCATCACTCTCCTCCGGGCTCCCTTGACCTCGTCCCCATCCTTCTCAGAGCCCCGAGCTGGACGCAGCGCTGCAGGGGAGGCCTCGCCTGCGATGCGCAGTGGGGAAATCATGCACTGCACGACCTGCCCAGGCCACCCGTCAATACGTCCTAGGAAACTACTCACTGGTTTCGGCAACAATCTTACATCCAGGTTGCGATGCAACCCCGGCCTTCCCTGCAGCTGGCTCCTCGCCCGCCTCCGGTGCCGGGGCCTTCCTGGCGCACCAGTCCCCACGGCTTCGAGGGGGCTGTGGGTGGCGCGAGGCGAGGCGAGCACGGAGCAGGTCGGCCAGTGTGCGCGGACGGCTGGGGCGGGGGCGAGAAAGGCAGGAGTGCGCGTGGAGGAGGGGGCAGGGGCAGGGAGGCGTGCGGCTGTCGGGGGGTGGGGGGTGTCGTGTGTGTGTGTGTGTGAGCCCGGGGGTGGCAGCACGTGCG